ACCTAGTAGGGTTCTTTTTGAAGCGGGATGCCAGTCACACCCAGGTGGCTTCCATTTTTCCTGTAGCATTTACAAGAGCAGCTGGACTTAGATCTCTCGCCTTTGGAGTACATGATGAAGTGCTACCCAGAGATCAAGGAGAAGGAAGAAATGAGGAAGATCATTGGGCGATACGGTCTTACTGGGAAACAACAGGTGTGGTGAGGATGCCAAATAGCTGGGAGACTGTGACTGGGTGGGTCAAGGGACACTGTCCTGGCAGGCTAGGTTTCGAAGCTGTCCAAACCAGAGTCTCCACCATTTGATTCCCCTAAGAACCTACTACCTTTTCTTTACTCTAGGTTGTTATGTAATGGAGCATTTTAAGGGAGCAAGGATAGCGTGCTAGTCTCTGACATGCCCTTGTGCCATAGTGCTTGAGGGCAAAGGAACTTGCAGTCTAGAAAACAAATTTCTGGATTCAGATCTGGAAGGATCCAGTTCATTAAGATTTAATTGTCAAGAGAGCAAGAGATACCGGCTTAGTAATGGCAAGGGCTTCAGGTTTCCGGACGAGTCTCTTTCAGGCCTCAAGAGACTAGTGGGTCTCTCTGAGCCTCACTTTTTGTAAAATGGCGATGCTAATGGAGGAGTCAGGGAGAAATGAGGGAGAGATGAGCTGTGCTGGTTGGTGGGATAATGCCAAGTTATATGTAGGTCATGGTTCTATTCAGGTGAGCCCAATCCGGAACTTGTCAGATGGGCAGAAGTGCCGAGTGTGTCTGGCCTGGCTGGCCTGGCAGAACCCCCACATGCTCTTCCTGGACGAACCCACCAATCACCTGGATATCGAGACCATCGACGCCCTGGCAGATGCCATCAATGAGTTTGAGGGTGGTATGATGCTGGTCAGCCATGACTTCAGACTCATTCAGCAGGTGAGGCCCTGGCCAGTGGGTGAGGCACAGCAGAGAGCTTCTAGAGGGTTGGGTAGGGTAGTCATGGCATGTGGAGGGTGCATAATACCCGCCTACTTAATTAAGAGAAGGGGCTCAGAGCATAGACACAAGTAGTGAGGACCGGTTCTTATGCCTCTTTGGGGCTACTTAGAATGCCTTAACTGAAACACTTCATTTCTTCAGTAGCTATCTGGAGATGTCAACCAACTTAGCATTTTGGGCCCAAATGGGAAAGAGAGTTGGGTAGAAAACTGGGTGCTTTTACTACTGTCCCAAGATTCTTTAGTCCAAAAATAGTATTCTAAGAAGGATTTTGATTAGACAGAGAACTACCTCAGTCATTGGAGAAGAAGTTGTTGCTCATTCCTCTGAAGCTCTGGAGAAGATGGGAGGTGGAGAAAAGAAGGCTGAGAGTGAAGCCTCTGAATAGATCTAGGCCCTGCCAGGGAGCTGACAATAGGAGTGACACAGCAGTTCCTGGCTTGGAAGGCTCCAAACCTGATTATGGTACCCTTGGGTGAGAACATCCCAAATAACTTAGAAGTAGTGAGACAGTGAGTTGGATATGGGTTTGGAGGGTGGAGTTTTCTTCCTAGATGCCCCTCAGGATAGTCTGCTGGGCAGAGGCGGGGACAGTGACTAGCCCAGGATTAAGTCTAGTTTTTGCTCTCTAGGTTGCACAGGAAATTTGGGTCTGTGAGAAGCAGACAATCACCAAGTGGCCTGGAGACATCCTGGCTTACAAGGAGCACCTCAAGTCCAAGCTGGTGGATGAGGAGCCCCAGCTCACCAAGAGGACCCACAACGTGTGAGCCCTCTACCTGGGCTCGGGTCAGGAGCTCCATCTGGGAACTAACAGCTGCTACCCTGACCAGCCGCTCAGGACAGGACCCTGGGGCTACACTCCTGCATTGCTGCAATACTGCTCCCCCAGCCTCTCCCCTGCCCCTCAACCTGCCTTAGCTGCACTCTCTTATCTACAGCTGGACAGTACCTGTCTGTTTCCTGTCCTCCTTCCAGTTACGTCTGTCCATGTCTGGACTCGGCTGGCTGTTCCCTCCAGCCCCTTGCTGGTTACTTACTCTGAGTGTGATGCAGTCAGAGGCACCAGCGGGTTAGCCCAAGGGCCCAAGCCCTGGATTTGGCCCGCGGAGGAGCTTAGGATCCTCGTTTTCTGGGTTTTGGTGATGTTGGAGGAGTACCCCCAGCCCACCGCCCCGATTCCTTTTTGCTTCTGGTTTGGAGCTCTGGACCAGGACCTTCGTCCTGGTCAGTTTTTAAATAATTATTTAACAGTGTAACTTTTAGACCTGCGTGACATCTACAAAGCGCCCAATAAAGAAAGAGGAAGCCACGGTCCCTACCTTCCTTCTCGGGTCTCTGGGGCCTTCTCCTCCCTGCAGTGCCAACATGCACTGCCCTCAGCAGGAGCTGGATCCAGCGTCAGTGTGTGGATGGGAACCGAAGACTAGTCCGTAGGAGCTCGAAGAACGTTCTCCCTTTACTGCGGATTTGAAATTGCACCTTTTCTCAGGCCTGTGATTCACAGACTTTAACGTGAATCAGAATCACCTGGAGCACTCATGAGATCAGATTGCCAGATCTCGCCTCAGGGTTTCTGGTTCAGTAGGTTTTGGGGGAGACCAAGAACGTGAACATTTCTAACAAGTTTCCAGGTGATGCTGTTGTTGCTGGTCCAGGGGCTGTATTTGGAGAACCACTGTCCAGGAGCGTGGTTTTCCGATTGTGATCTGAGGTTCTGCCTCAACTGCATAGAAGTTGGGCTGCTTGTTAAAAACGCAGACCAGGTGCGGTGGCTCACACCTGTAATTCCAGCGCTTCGGGAGGCTGAGGCAGGTGGATCACTTGAGCTCAGGAGTTCAGGACCAGTCTGGGAAATATGACGAAACCCATCTTTACACGCCTGGAATCCCACCTGCTCAAGTGGCTGGGGTGGATGGATTGCTTGAGCCCGGGAGGCGGAGGTTGCAGTGAGCTGAGATTGCACCACTGCATTCCAGCCTGGGTGACAGAGCAAAACCCTGTCTCAAAAAAATGCAGACTGGCCAGGCACAGTGGCTCACACCTGTATTCCGACTGTAAGCTTATCACCTTGGGAGGCCGATGTAGGAGGATCAATTGAGCCCAGAAGTTCAAGACCAGCCTGGGCAAAGTAGGGAGACCCACATCTCTACAAATAATAATAAAACGAACCGGGCATGGTACCATGTGCCTGTGGTCCCAGCTGCTCTGGAAAGAGGAGGCTCACTTGAGCCCAGGAGGTTGAGGCTGCAGTGAGCAGAGAACGTGCCACTACACTCCAGCCTGAGGACAGACCGAGACACTGTCTCAAAAAATAAAGATTGCTGAGCATCAGACCTATTGATTAATCACGTTTGGTAGAATGAGAGAAGTGCAGAGATGGCCAGGAGTTTGCATTTTCACACCAACATCTGTGAACCTTTCTTCCTATTGGGATACAGGAAAGTTTGTATTTTTACCTGTCCACAGCCATAGTTTTCATCATCACTATTGAATTCACTTCCAGCCCAGGGCTCTGCATACCTTATCTGGGTCTTTTGAACTTCAATAGCACCTCACCAGTGGCCATCCTTCCTGGTATGGATTCATCACTCTGCCTCTGAAATCAGTAGCCATCCCTATGGGAAGACACAGCCATGGTTTTTCAGTACTCATTATGCCAGGACTGGCGGGAGCAACTGTCCCAGATGGTGTTTAAACCCCTTAGGAGCTCATGATCTTGTTGGAAAGCCAGTAAGACAGAACCATACAGGACACAAATTAGATGCTAAATTGTGATTTAGATAGGAGACAGAAGTATTCAAAAAGGAGGGAAATTTCTTGTGAGTAGCTGCCCAGAGAGGTGGAATTAGTGTGCTCTCACTTGGAAAATGAGTAGGGTCTTCTCAGATGGCCACGAAGTCCAGGAACTGCCCTGGGCAACAGGGACAAGAGCCTCCCATGAGACACTGCAGCAGAGACAGACGGGAGTCCTCTACCCACTGACCCCAGAGAGTACTGGCCTGACTGCTTTATGCCTTAAGTGGGACCTGGAGCAAAATGGCCCAAGTTAGTCTGTCCTGAGTGTCCAGAGCCTTGGTTCAGGGGAGAATGGCATCTGGAGAGTGGGCTGCTGGGATAATGGGAACAGGGAGGGACAGAGTCCCTGCTACTTCAGCCAAGGAAGTGCTGGATATTGCTAAGAATCTAGGTAGTCTCGGGATCTCTGGTCTCCATGCTAGGACAGGAGGTCTTCGGAACCTAGAGGAATGGAAATAGTCTAGTCAGCTTACTTGTCGAGAAAAATGTCAACCTTGGTAATTTAAAGAATGCTTTAAAAGTCCACAAAATACATATTTCTAAAACTAGCAGTGCCTTGTTTTGGATTGAGAAATGCCCTGTTAGTTCTCTTAAGCCTTAGCACGTAGGATGTGACCTGCCATTCAGAGCGGGGTGGAGAGGTAAGTTGATTGAGGGGTTGCTCGCGTTAACACAGCCAGCAGGTGATGCTGGTGTTTGGAACCCTTCCCCCGCCTCTTGATTTGAAACATCCTCTTTCTGCCCATGCCCCAATATGTTTCATATTGCTCCAGGTTTCTTTAATCATAGCATTCAAGGGCCTGAAATATTTGTTCCCCCATAGGTGCTAAGTGAGACAATTGACTTTCTCCATTTTGCAATGGCCTTTTCTTTACTGCTAACTCCCAAGACCCCCATGTCTGCTTTTCTGGTGAGCACCTATTGTTTTTCTGCTTCTCGCCGCCTCCAGTGGTCTTCCTCCCTGTCAGCCTCTTCACCACCTGGGGGGCTTCTGCTCTCTGCATCTAGTCCAGGCTCAGGCATTTTGCTCATCTTCTGCCTTCAGTCCAAGCCTCGTTACACTCTGCTCACACTGATTGCACTCTACCTTTCACACCATTTCTTTCTCTCATTCTTCCCAATTAAAGAATACATCCTACAAAGATACATCCTACAATGCCTACAAAGGCACATCCCATTTGTGCCAATAAGCGGCCTGTAGCTACTCAAGCCCTCCTTACCATGGGTACCACCACTTTTAGCCCCTTCACCCTTCTCTGGTGGTTTGATGTGAACCAGTCTTGTCTCTTCAGCTCCACTGGGGCCCAGTGGGGGAGGGAACCTGCATTCCTTCTGGAGTCCCCAGCACTCTGAGCTGTGCTGGCACCTGTGTGCTCCGTGATTACAGGCTGGTGGGCTGGAGTTAGCCTGAACTTTTAACAAGTGCGTAAATACACTGGGAGATGGTTGGGTGGGGGAGGGGACCTGGTGAAGCGTTTCTTAATTCGGAGGGATTACTTTCGGGAGAGGAAGGAACAATTAGTCTCTTTTCAAGGTTAGCCCAGAGCATGTTCTGGATTGCGATTGAGTCACGCCCCTTACCTCCCACCCCCCACTCTCCCAGGTGCATGTCCCCAGCCACACCTGGTGGGGCAGCTGACTTGATAAAAAGTAGCTCCGAGGGGGTGGGCGGGGGCTATTCGAGGAGCAGGAGGATGAGCGCTGAGTATGGACAGCGGCAGCAGCCCGGGGGCCGTGGGGGTCGCAGTTCTGGGAACAAAAAGTCCAAAAAGCGCTGTCGGCGCAAGGAATCCTACTCCATGTATATCTACAAGGTGCTGAAGCAGGTGAGTGCAGAGCAAGGATGTGTGTGTGGGATGCCCTTGCAAAGCGCCTTGAAAGGGAACTGGCTGGAAGCGGGGACCCTGAGGTTAGTGTTGGCATTGGGGCAAGTGGCTCAGGCAGGCTGGGCCCCTCTTGAGGTGGCGGGACCTGATTTCCAAGGTCCTACCTCTCAGGATCTTCGGCACCGGTGATAGGAGACAGTGTGCTCCCTGACACGCTCCAGAAGTTTACGGGAATGATGATGAGATAATATGATTAGGTGGGACATAATTTTTTTTTTTTTTTTGAGAGGGAATCTCGCTCTGTCGCCCAGGCTGGAGTGCAGTGGCACGATCTCAGCTCACTGCAACCTCCACCTCCTGGGTTCACGCCATTCTCCTGCCTCAGCCTCCCGAGTAGCTGGGACTATGGGCGCCCGCCACCACGCCCGGCTAATTTTTTTGGATTTAGTAGAGACGGGGTTTCACCGTGTTAGCCAGGATGGTCTTGACCTCCTGACCTTGTGATCCACCTGCCTTGGCCTCCCAAAGTGTTGGGATTACAGGCGTGAGCCACCGCACCCGGCCCAGGTGGGACATAATTAAAAGACAAGAGGACCACACTTTCTGTGCCAGGCTGAAGGTGATCGGGTGCCAAACACATGATGATACGAAGTGTGTTGGTGGTGACTGAGGAGAGGAGTGTTCAGGGTGAACTGGAGTCTTGGGGAAGGGCTTCTGGACAAGTGGCACTCAGTTATTTGAGGGGCTTAGGGTTTGTCCACGTTACAGACAAGAGCTTGAGGCCCCTAAAGGCTCCATGGCATTCCTGCATCATGTGGCCTGACAGTGGCAGTGTCCCAGCTCCCCTGGCTTTGGGCAAGCCTCTAGCATCCTTCCTGTGTGTCCCTCTCCCCAACACACTGGGGCTGCAGGTGCCCTATATTCATGCATGAAAAGCCACTTGGAACACTGACAATCAGTTTGTCTGGAGGATCCAAAGCCACTGCTCAGCAGGGCCAAGGCCAGGAGGAAACAGGGGTAGCCATGTGTTGCCCACCCTGGGTCTCCAACCTGCTTGAAACTTACCCCTCTGTTAGGGCAGGCCCCAGAGGTAATGCCTGTCTCCAGTCCAAATCCCATTAGCAGTTTTAGTGAATTGACAACCTGGGTGCCTGGGAATGCTCTTGTAGGGTTGGGGGTGAGTGGGTCCAGCACTGATATGGGTTGGCTGAAGAGATGCACCAGAGGACAGACTCCGGTACCCTGAAGAAAGTAGGGTAGGAGTGGGTATCACTGAGTCCTGTGTCTTAGTCTGACTGTGAGGGGCACAAATTGCAACTGATGGGTGAGACCAGGCCTGGACCCACAGAGGAGAGTGCTGCTGAGGGATAACCCCTCGACCTCCCGATGTGGGTGAGAGCCCTAAGGAGAATGGGGTGTGCTGACAGCAGAGGGGGTTTGGACAGAACCAGCCTTGTGCCAGGCGCAGATTTGCTGTTGGCAGTCGAGATCAGAGGTGGCAGGGAAGGTGGGTGGGACAGAGCCTGTTGGTTCTAGTGCTGTCTCCATCTCTGACTCCATGTAGGTTGTGGGACAGTCACTTCTCTCCCACTTCACATCTGACCAGGTCTACCTACTCACATTTCAGGACTGCTGTCAGGTCCCATTGCTTTACTAGAGATCACTTAGTTCAAAAGCTTGTGTGACAGAAGAGGAAACTGAGGCCCAGAGAAAAGGGCCATATTTGAGGTCGTAGCAATTCACAATACAGCCACAGAACAGGACTCCTCCCTCCTGGTTCGGGGCTGCCACTGTCACATGCACATGTCCACTGGTTATGTGCTCCACCAAGTTACGTGCACAAACCTTTTGACCCCACAGTCCCACCTCTGGAAATAACCTTCCCTATGCTCACATAAGATTCAAAGATGGACATTTACCATAGCACCATCTAATGGCAAAAACAACAAAAAACACCCCAAACCCAAACCCAAACCCGGATTGTTCATGAAGAGAGGAATGGTGATAGGAAGTATGATACATCCATACCATGGAACATTATGCAAATGCATCAATGAAACCAGCAAGATGCATGTGTAACTGGTTCCATTTGTTAAATATAGATTCTTGTGCATGATCATACAAGGAACTTAATCATGTTACCTCTTGCAGTTGAAAACTTCTTTTAAAAAACTTGGGTATACCATAGTAGTACAAAGAAAACACAAATCCCTATTTCCATGACTGTTGGCCTCTGGGAAGGGGCTGGTGAGGAGCCTCCCTGCCTTCTGCCTCTGGCTTCCTAGAACCCCAGCTCAGGGGTGAGGCTTGCAGTGTAGGCAGGACCCCCCGTCCCCCAGCCCCTTCCATTAAGCGAGTGGTGCTGCCCTCTCTCCAGGTGCACCCTGACATCGGCATCTCTGCCAAGGCCATGAGCATCATGAACTCGTTTGTAAACGATGTGTTTGAGCGGCTGGCGTGTGAGGCTGCCCGGCTGGCCCAGTACTCGGGCCGGACCACCCTGACATCCCGAGAAGTCCAGACAGCCGTGCGTCTGCTGCTGCCTGGGGAGCTGGCCAAGCACGCTGTGTCCGAGGGCACCAAGGCTGTCACCAAGTACACCAGCTCCAAGTGACCCAGGGTCTGACAAAAATAAAGGCTGAACTGTTTCTGTGCACTGTGGTGATTTGAGAGAAGGGTGTGTGAGGCCAGGGTGTGGTCTGAAGCAAGGGTGTCCTCACTTCGAGGCTACCACAGGTGGAGCAGCACTTCTTCAGATGTCTTAGAAACTGCTTTCTAGGTGTGTCCCGTGAGCAACGTGTGATAGCTTTGTAAACATGTGAATGTTCTATTTGGTAGTGAGCTGAAATAGGACCTGGGACTGGACTAGCATCTGGATTTACTGCCAGCTGATTCCCTCTCTGGGCCTGAAATTCCTCCTGTGTGGTCCTCTTTCAGGCTGTGGCTTCCCCATGTCATTTCCCACCAACTGTCATTGCGTCCTAGACGACAGACACTATTGTTTGAAGGGGCCGCACAGATCTATTCAAGATAAAAAACTGAAGGCCCAGACCAGCTTCTAAATAACCTGCTGAGATCAGTATGATTTTTCAGTTTCCCCTTTATTTCAGTACAAATCAGTGGGGATGTTTTTGAAACTCCTAACTTTCCCAATTTTATTTGGAAAAATTTGAAACCCACAGAAAAACTGCAAGAAGTACCATGGCCACTCCTATGTCCTTACCTAGATTTACTGCTCACCACTTAACCACTGCTTTTCCTGTCTCATGCAGCCTCTGCTTATCTTGTGGGCACATGACCCATAAATCCTTTTCCAAGTTTGGACAGGATGAAGGGGTGGGATTTAGACAAACCTCCAATCCTTCTTTGTTCCCTTTGTAATTGGACAGACCTAGCTTGTGGTCGCTTTCATCTCCATGTATTGAAAAGGCATCGCCTTATAGTGATAGCTGGCATTCAGCGGCAGCTACCTAGGTCACGTGTATTTTCTCATACCTCAAGCCTCACCTCAAGGCTCTGTGAGCTGAGGACTAATGATCCTCATTTACATCCACAGCTAGCAAGGGGCAGGCCCAGGAGATCTGGCCCCGAAGTTTCACTCCTGCCCACTCTGCCCTGCGTTCATACCTTCCCCTGCCAGGCATGACCTGGGCCAGCAGGAGCCAAAGCAGCTGGAAGCTTGTTAGAAAGGCAAGCTCTTGGGTACCCCCTCAGATCTGGAGCAGAACCTGTTTATCTATCTATCTATCTATCTATCTATCTATCTATCTATCTATCTATTTTTGAGACAGTTTCATTCTGTTGCCCAGGCTGGAGTGCAGTGGTGCCATCTCCGTTCACTGCAACCTCTCCCCATCCCAGGTTCAAGTTTTTCTCCTGCCTCAGCCTCCTGAATAGCTGGGATTACAGGCATGTGCCACCATGCCTGGCTAATTTTTACATTTTTAGTAGAGATGGGGTTTCACCATGTTGACCAGGCTGGTCTTGAACTCCCAACCTCAGGAGATCCATCTGCCCTGGCCTCCCAAAGTGCCGGTATTACAGGCATAAGCCACTGTGCCCAGCCCGGAATCTGAATTGTAATGAGACCCTCAGGTAGCTCGTAGGCACCTTCGAGTTAAGAGTCCTCCTATTTGCTTCTCTTTGCTGCTGTCTCCCTTCTATCCCTTTCCCTGGCCCTGTTCCTTGTAGATTTACATATTCATAAGTCTCGACATGACACTGAGCTAAAAAGCTCACCCCAGCTGACAGCCTCAGGCTGCTAGTGGTATAATATTTTGTCTTTTTGGAAAAATTGTCTCCTGAACTTGTAGCAGTGATGGGAGGCAGTACCCACAGGTGACCAAGTGAGCCCCAAGCATGCAGAACAGCATCCACTATGCTTTCTAGCATGATCCTTCACGTGGGTCTGGCTCATGGGAATGGTGTGAACTCTTGGCAGGCCCCAAGGAGGCAAGCATGGTTATGCTCACTTTCACCCAAGGGGGCAACTGGGCCTTCAGGGCCTTCTGATTCCAAATCAGTGCTTTTCCCCTCCACCACACGGGCCTCTCCGTGCCATCATCCAGAGAGTGGAGGGCTGTGGGGCTCAGGAGGCGTGGGTGGACAGAGGGAACAGGCCGCTCCAAGTGAGAAGCTGCGGTGATGCCTTGTTGGGGGGTAATGTCTTTAGGACGGATGTATTCAGAGTGCCAAAGCTTTTAGGAGACTTCAAATAGAGACTTATTTCACTTGTTCCTTATAAGAAAAATGGCCAAAGTTGGACAACATGTTCTGCCCTAAGCTTCCAAAGCTTGCTCTGTGGGAGCCTGAAGCCACCCACCCACAGTCCCTTCAGTGTGCTGTTTCCAGGATGTCCTCCGAGATAATGTGCCCATTCTGCGCCACCAGTCCCCTCTCCTCAGCCCTAGAACACTGGCACAATGGGTCAGAACTCTTCAAACCAGGCTGTTCTGCCCTGTGGCCCTGGGAGTCAGGGAGCCACAGAGGTTCTGTGAATTCCACCACCAGCAAACAAGGGGCAGCGTGGAGGAGTGGGCACAATGTCTGAGGGGTGAGTGAGGGGCTGGAGTGGGGCTCCCAGGGCAGAGAGAACAAAGGTCAGAGCACCTCCTTGGTCCTGAGAGGCTGGGGCAGAGTGGCAGTTTGGGCGCTGGGTCGCTCCAGCTGCTGCTGCTGGCCTGGCAGCTTTCACGGTGGAAACTTCCCTCTGACAGTTAATTCCAGAAGCAGGGTTCTGCTCTGAGGAAGGGACCCTCCTCCACATTCATCCCTCACCCCCATTTCCCACCCACCAGCCCAGATCACTGCAGCATCCGTGGGCTGCCCCACACCTGGCGGGCCCCACTGCCCCTGACTCCTGAAGACCCCTTCCTTACCGGAGCCTCAAGCCTGGGCCGGCTTTCCCCCAACCCCCCAAAGGTCATGCCCATTCTCTCTGCTAATCCTACAGCGGAGCCCAATCCCACACTGTCCCTAAGACCAGGTCAGTGTCTACTCATTGACCTGCGGGCTCCTTACCTCATTGAAGTCCATTTCGGAGCCATGAGTGGTATCACACCTTCTGGTACCCCGAGCCCACACTCCTCAAAAGGCCAGGAGGCTCCATCTCCCCACTCCTCCGCGGCTCAGAGCACGCGACGCCCGCCACCCTCTCTCCAGAGCTTACCAGCGCCTCTGGGAGTCCTCCCACGTGACCCTGCAGGAGCTGCTGGACCAAGAGCAGCCTCTGCTCGAACCTGTGCCCGACCGGGAGCGGCAGTCCTTCCAGTACAGGCTCGCGTCGCTCTACCTGCAGTACCTGGGGCTGCTGCGCCGCTTCAACACCGTCTATGACCAGATGGTGCAGCCGCAGAAGCGGCGGCTGCTGCGGCGCCTGCTGGACGGCGTGGCGGGCCGCGTGCTGGAGCTCAAGGACGAGCTGGTGCGCGCCGACCTCTGTGAAAACCCCTGCCTGGACCGCGTGCTGCAGGATCTCAAGCTCACCCCGGTACGTGTGCGCAGCCACGAAGCCACGCCCCCAGCCAGCTGGCAGTAGGGGAGAGGCGGGGTGGGACCCGCCTTGACCACCTGGGACACAGAGCCATGCCCCGGCCAGCTTGGAGTCGGGTGGGGTAGGGATGGGGCCGACCACCCCCTGCCTATATCCCTGGTGTTGGGACACCTGCTAGGGAAGGAAAGAGGGCAGAGAAGATCAGAGGATGGAGTTGGGCCTTGTGGGAAGGGCTTCAGGAAGCTTGGCGGTGGGGGTTGTGCATGGAGGTACTTAGGGGTCGGATGGAGTCAGGATGAGGTCCCCTGCATGACTGGGAAGACCCACAAACCGCAGGGAATTGGTGAGGAGAGTCCTCTAGAACCTCCTCAAAGTGTGGTCCCTGGACCAGCTGCGTTGACATCACAAATGAGAAACTCTGTATCCTTAACCCGCTAAATCTGCACCTGCATTTTATCAAGACCCTCCAGTGATCTGTGTGCACGGGCAAGTTCTAGAAGGCTGTTCTAGAACACAGAGCTTCTGCAGGGCCTCCAGTCAGGCTCAGGGTTCAGTAACTGCTTCATAGCCAAGACTATCTCAAAGTTTCCCCAACCAGCTGCAGCAGTGCGCTTGGTGGGGCGGGCGGCCATGGGGAAGATTCCCCAGGCCCTGCCATTCTGATGTAGTAGTCTGGGGAGGACCTAGGAATCTGCATTTAAGAGCTTCCCAGTTGATTCTGATGCACAACCAGGTTTGAGACCACTGCCACCTACCACTATCCTCCAGAATTCAACTCCAGTCAGAGGATGGGGGCAGAAGAAGAGAGGAATGACTTTTGGGGGCATCTGCCCCATTTAAGTTTCCTACCTCAAGACTCTAAAATGGAGGAAAACAGTGCTGGGGGTGTGTAAGCCCCTGAAAATGGTAATGGATTGGCCAGATGGCTCAGACTTTTGATTCCTGACCCTCCTCCCCCAACATTGCTCCAAAGGCTGACCTGGAGGTTCCAATCCCCAAATACTTCCTGTTGGAGCAGTCTACTGCTGTGCGGGAGCGACGGCTGATACTGGCCGAGATCCTGTCCAGACTGGAGCCAGAGTCCTCCCAGAAGGTAAACAGGGTGACACCTTCCCGGACTCTTCCATACCCCTTCTCCTGAAAGCCTCCAGAATGCAGAGAGGCCCTTCCCTGCCCTCTACGAGAGTGCCCTTTAGGTAATCCCTGGCCTCCTTCAAGGCTATTCTTGTGCTCATGGTAACCCTCCAATGCCAAGACAAGACTTGGGCTCCCAGATACTCTGGGAGGATGGTGCCCTGGTGTACCCTTTGATGGCCAGTCTCCCAGCAGTCCACCCTGGATGTAAACTCTCCTTCATGTGCTCCTGCTCTTTTGCCCCTGCTCTGGCCAGAGCTTTACAGGAATGCACCGGACTGAGGCCATAATTCTAGTGCAAAAGGCAGAGCGGGCCAGGCAAGGCCGGCTTCGAGCCACCTTCATGCGAGAGATTCGAAGAGATGAGGAGCAGGATCGGAGGATTCGGGAGGACGGATGGCACAAGTTCAGTCAGTGCCAAGCAGCTATCACCATACAGAAGGTAACCCTAGGTGCCCAGGAGGAGGGCCAGGGTAGAGTTACCTCATTCAGGAAGCCTGCTGG